TTATATATATATATATATATATATATATATATATATATATATATAATTTAGTTATTTGCCAACAAAATCACATAAATTATATATTATATTTATACGTAAAAAAAATATACGGAAGTATGAAATATTGTTAAAAAAATCTGTGTTACTTACACATTAGTATTGCAGGCAGAGAATTTATATAGAATAAAAATACCACAGACAAAAATAAGTAAGCGGTATTACTCATCACTTTCTGCACGTCCGCGTCGTCACCAAAATTATAGAAAACTGCTCCAAAAAACAGGCCGTTTGCGACGTGCGCCGCAAATTTTAGGTTTGTCAAGGTCTGAGAGATCAATCACACAAAACGATAGCATTTTAATTTTTCAAGCAAATTGTTCGAATATTACTTTCGATAGTTTTTACTTACAATATCTCGCTTGATGCAAATTAGAGATCTTAAAAATAAAATCTTTTGCTGTTGCCATGTCGACTTTTTTGATATTATACTATTTGTGGACGTATCTATGTCGCCTGTTTCACATTTCTGCTTAGAATCAGTCGATTCTATAAAAAAATCCAATTATTGAGAGTTATTAGTGACTGAAAAATTATTTCTCATAATTTTGAATTGTCTCGCTTTATATATTTATGCTTTTCGAATAACATTAATTTTACATTATACACAAGAAAGATATAGTCCTCGAGGTTTAGAGATACTCAATGCCTGATCCAATATTTTTAAAATAGAGAATATATTGTGGATATTCTCGTTAAATAATATATTCACGCTTTTATTATCCAGTCATCGCGAAGCAAGATGGAAAAAACATTATAAATTAGTATAAATTAGTATAAGTTATTAACATAATTGTTAATGAATTATTAATAAATTATTATGGATTAACAAAAATTCGAAATAATTAAGAAACGTTTAAATACATAACCGTTTAATAAAGTATGTAACATCATATTTACCATTTTCATTAGGTCTGTTGCGCGATCTCGAATTTTCGTATTCATCACGACAGATCTTGTATAAATTCTCTAAATCTCCACCTCTTTGCTCTGTTATGACCTCAAGTACTGCAATCAGGAAAACACAATCAATATCACATGTGGATTGTTCTCCATTTTTTTCAAATTAATAATATGCTTTGAATCGTTTAATATCATAAATATTACATAGTAAAATTGTTGTGTAACATCGAAAAGTGATAAAGCCACAATTCATGTAATAAGCAATACTACATCAAATTAAACAATGTGAGAATTTTCTTTGTATTTGCACATAATATTGAAACTTGTATATATTTATATCAAGTTTTATAATCTTGATGCTTTTCGAGATATCGAAAATATTTCAGTTTATGCAAGGTAAACTTTTTGAATACTTTTTCTTAAGAATTCATCTGTCTTAAGGAAGTCTGTTTTGTTACTTGTGTTTAGTACAATTAATTACAAAATCTATTTTTGTAATAAATTTAACAAATTTGCTATGCAAGATTAATAAGAAAAAAATCTTTCAGGCTTTGAAGTAAAAGAATACATAAAAAAATGCGTACAGCTCTAAAATATTTTATGTTAATACTTTTTTTCTAATTCTTCTGTCTCTTTGTAATTTACTTATTAAGTCGGATCGATAGAGTCATCAACGTTACCGAATTCTGCTGTGTTGTAGAAGCTGGGACACGTGAACCCGGCGATGCTGTACGTATTTAAAATCTCGCTCTTTGGACCACAGTACATACTTCTACCTTGGTTAAGTACCATAATGTCATCGAAGAGCGAAATCATCTGTCTGCTGGGTTGATGTATCACGCAAACCACAGTGCAGTTCTCTCTTGCCATACCGTGCAGCATGTTAATGAGCTATTCAATGCAAATCGTATGGATACATGTGGCACATTAAGAACGCCTTAATGATATTGCGGAACAAAATATAATAATATAATCAGAAATGTTTATTATTCTCGACCATAATATAATAATATTCCAGCTATGTCGCAGGAATGTTGCAACGTTGCTACAATATTGCTGGAATATTTTGCGCTTGTATTAGTAGAATACAAGAAATAAATATTGATTTATGTCGGCTAATAGCGAATGTTTTGTAAAACAATCGCTATATTGATGTAATCTGCATTAATTTTTATTAATATATTTATATATCATCATACCTGATTAGACACCGCACTGTCGAGACCGCTTGTTGGCTCGTCTAATAAGAGAACGGATGGCTTGGCGATCAATTCTACGCCGATGGAAAGTCTCTTTCGTTCGCCACCGCTTAATTTGTTCGCCAATGTACCCAGGCAATTTGACAAGCTGAGACTCTTCGCGATATCGTTCACCTAACAGAAATAATATCTGATGGTGCATCAATCTATATATGTATAACTTTTTTGTTCGCCACAGCAAGCTTATTATAAGTAAAAATAATAATATACATATAAAATATATTTTTATATAATTATCTATTATATATATATTTTTTTTTATTTAATAATACATTTTATACATAGCGATTGGAGAGTTTCTTTTGTATATTTATATATTTTACTTACAATTAAGCGAATCACTTGTTCGTCCTGATTAACGAGTTTCAGCCGAGCTGCTATGTAGAGAGTCTCTCTTGTCGTGAGAAACGGCAACAGATCGAATTGTTGCGGCACGTAGCGCACATGTTTGCGGACCATTCCCCTGTCCCGTTCAACGCCGTTTATGGTGACAATACCCTTAACGTCGGTCAATCGTTCGTCCAACACGACTTTCAGCAGGGTGGTCTTTCCCGCCCCAGAAGGACCGATTATTACTGTGAGTTTCCCCGATTCGAAGTGCCCCGTCACATTACGCAGGATCTTTGTCTCGGTCTCTACAGTAAGCATTCTTCTTTAACCATATTTATAGACAACACGTGGAAAACGCATTATAATTACAAATAAAACTGTGTAACCTTCAAAACCTGGTTCTTTAAATCAAACAATTTTCCAAGAAAATAATGCATATACGCAATACACCTATAACTGCGTTTTACAAATCATTCATAGATTTTCAGGATTGCTAAGTCTTAAATTAGTAAGTGAGATAATTTTAGCCAAAATCCGAAACACGATGTATCTGCTGTCGCTATCGGCTGTTAAATATATAATCTTTGACATATGTTGCACCTATCTTAGACATATTATAATATGTTATATGAATATATGTCATATTATATAATATGTTAGACTTGAAAATTTTCAATTTTAAGATTAGAGCAAACAATACATGATTTGTATTTTTATTACCCATTTATGAGATAAATAATTTTAGAACACTCTGGAGATATTCAAGATAATTGTTTTATATTGCGACACATAATTATAATAAGCTTTGTAGGGTAGAGCGGGGTCAAAAGTAACGCGGGGCGAAAGTAACAACTCAAGTATCTATAGTTATAGACATAGATGCGCATACGTTTGTTGATTAACGGATGAAGCTGAACAAGCTATAACGTGTCTCAGAATGCCTGCGGCATGGGTATTGAGTGGACGTCTGTAATAAATAAAATATGTTTCTGAGGCCGTAAAGTAATTTCTTCCGACAATCTTAAACTTTGAATATAATATATCCACTGCAAGTAAGTACTTTTTCTTTTAGGTTATATTTGAGTTTTGTTATTTTTTCTTATTATAATAATTATTACTTATTCATTTTTGGCATTTTATTATTAGAAATTTTAAGTCAAAGTTCAAAAACATATTCGGGACGATTGTAACATCATTGTGTGGGGTCGAATAAAACGTTACAAATCAACTCCCTAGTCCTTAAAGACATTGTGTTCCTATCATTTAATGATATAAGAACAAAAAATGTTTATAATTAAATGAACAAAGTTAATGTTTTCTATAATTGATATAAAGAAGTTATGTTTTAATAGAATAAGATTTTATTTTACTTTTTTTGTATGAGAATATGAATATTTTAGTTTGTTTTTGTTAATATAAGAGAAATTATTATTTTTTATTGAATAAACATTTTTTATTTTGATTATTTAAAATAGTTACTATCGATCCCCTCTATAGTGTTGCAAGCAACCCGGCGTCTGGGGCGATTGTAACATTTTCCCTCGTTTACGTTTTTGATTAATAATTCTTATTTGGTTTATCACAAGATTTAAATAGGAGGATTTCCATAAAGTGAAATGATCACATTAACTTAGGGTATCAAGAGTTTTTCTTTTACTGTAATAGTTTTTCCACAATCAAGTTCTAAAGTCAAATTGTTACTTTTGACCCCGCTCTACCCTAATGAGAACAAAAACTTGTTTGCGGATCATAACTTATAATGACATTTTTATTTTATTTTTAAATAAAATATTTACGTCATTATTTTTAATTAATTTATATAAAGACATTCAGTTCTTTTTACGGCTTATAAAATAACATGCTTTTCTAAACACGAAATCTAGTACGATCATAACATTAGCTCTATTTAAGAAATTAACAAAGTTGTATTAGTTACTTGTACATGCTAATGTGAAAATTTTGATAATTAACATACGTAATCTTTTGTTATTTACGTAAAATTTTGTTATCGCGATCAAAATAACTACAAACGCGAACACGTACGTCAATATATAATCCACAGCTTTATTATTTATTCTATTACGAAATTAGAATCTAAATCTTGGTTTAAACTTTAAATTAATTGTGTCAGTTTTTTTTTTAATCTGACTCATATAACTGGAGATAAACGACTAGAACCGGATGTAAGTTCAATGGTGTAGGGATGCCAAATCTCTATAAGTTTTAAAAACAGATTGCTGAATAAGTTTTAATATCTTCTCACTTTGCTAATATTTTCGCACTTAGCTTAAACAATAGTACATAATGGTGTACGTACATCACATTTTAAAATATTAAGCTGTATTTATCTTATGGTTAAATTCCAGTTAAAATGTTGCGTAACATATAGATGATATTTGTGCGCTGAAAACTCACAACATTAAAAATAATGATTTACGCGCGAATTTACGATTGGGCGAATTTAATGAACATATCAATACGTAAATACTAGAAATCATCAGACGGATGTGTTTAGCGCGCAAATCGAGACAACATACATATTATATTTGTGTGACATGTACCACAAATTGCAATGTAATGACGTGCGCTTACGTTAGGTACTACATCAATCGAATGATTAGATCAGTTATTTTTTATACAGCTATATAAAGCTGTCTGAAGATATTACGAAGCGTACGAGTAAATTGTGTCGGATATCGAGGATATCGAGAACGCAAAATCGCAACTTTCACAAATATGCGTGGAACGATGATGAAATGTTCTTGCCTTTGCGGTTGCGACGAACCGAATAACAGAGATCGCTGAATTCGATGCACATCTGCGAGTTCCGCGATTTTCTGGGTCGCAGCAATTTTTTTGACTCTTGCAAACTGATCTTACAGGAGTCGTCGTCCAGCATTTTCGCTTCCAGCATCTTGCCGAACACTTAGTAAAATTAGCAGCCGTCTGCCGTCAACTGATTAATTGAAGAACCGGCGTTTGCGTACTGGGCATACGAGATGCGTGATACGCGATATCATCGAATTCTTTATTAATCGTACACGGTCGGGATAGCGTCGTGCTACGACTTCATGCGTTGACTGATTTTGTAGCACTGTAGTTCGTTGAGTCTAAAGGCCTTCACACATAAAATACCGTAAGGACGCAAAACGTAAGCGTAAGAAAATCGATCAATCCCAATCAAGTATTTCCCCTTACTGGGGTTACGGACAGCACAATATTTGATTGGGATTAGTCGATTTTTTTACGGTTACATTTTACGTCCTTACACGATTTGATGTATGAAGGCCGTAACACAGAAGGACAACCGGTCACCTTCACAAGGCGAATAAATGAGTTAATATGCTGCAAACCTGTTTTTATATGGTAAATTTTACGTGTCAGGGACCCACTTAAAAATAAACTGCTTGGAATTTTTAAAATGATCATGAAAACATGAAGCGGATGTAAGTTCAGTAGCGTAGGGATGCCGAACCTCTATAAGTTTTAAAAACAAATTGCTGAATAAGTTTTAATATCTTCTCACTTTTCTAACATTTTCGCACTTAGCTTAAACAATAGTACATAATGGGTACATACATCACATTTTAAAATATTAAGCTGTATTTATTTTATGGTTAAATTTCAGTTAAAATGTTGCGACATATAGATGATATTTGTGCGCTGAAAACTCACAACGTTGAAAATGATTATTTACGCGCAAATTTACGATTGAGCGAATTTAATGAACATATCAATACGTAAATACTAGAAATCATCAGACGGATGTGTTTAGCGCGCAAATCGAGACAACATACGTATTATATTTGTGTGACATGTACCGCAATTGCAATGTAATGATGTGCGCTTACGTTGCTATATCAATCGAATGATTAGATCAGTTATTTTTTATACAGCTATCTAAAGCTGTCTCAAGATATCACGAAGTGTAATGAGTAAATTGTGTCTAGAACGCAAGAAAATTCCGACTTTCATAAATATGTGAAACGATGAAATGTTCTTGCCTTTGCGGTTGCGACGAACCGAATAACAGAGATCGCTGAATTCAATGCACATCTGCGAGTTCTGCGATTTTCCGGGTCGCAGCAATTTTTTTGACTCCTGTAAATGTATCTTGCAGGAGTTTTCGTCCAACATTATCGCGTCCAACATCTTGCCGAACACTTCGTAAAATTAGTAGCCGTCCGCCGTCAACTGATTATAGCCTCGGTCACTTTCACAAGACAATGAATGAGTAAGTTTGCTGCGAACCTGTTTTATATCGCACAAGTTCTCACTATGTTGTAATTATCGAGCACATTGAATGTTTAATTGTTTACTGAGTCAGTCGACAGCGTCTAGACGATATAAAATTGCTCTCCGTATGTTAATGAATGCGTTATGACCTTGGTCCTTTATGTAATATGACTTCATTTTTTACATTAAGCATAATAGTGCCATTATGAAAATATCGCAACTTAAACGCGCACTTTGACGAACTGATTTTTTGCAAAAGAAAAGAACATATTGACTTGTATTAACATCTAATGTCCAGGACAAATATATTGCATTTATTTATATTATTTTCCTTTTAGTGTTAATTTTGTCGCTTTTTGTATTTCTCAGTTCTTTGTTAAATATAACATTTGTGCGCAAAAAGTTTCTTGACTTAGTCTATAAAACACCAATTTTTTGGTTTTTAATTGTTTTATTTTATCATTTTGTTTATAACTACAGACATTTATAACATTTATAACATTTTGTTTATAACAGAGAGGTAACATAATAAGAAAAGTTAATGTCTGTTTTAAGATAAAAACTCACGTACATAGCTTGAACGAAAATATCATGGTAAAATTGAACTGAAATTATATCAATGTTAATAAATAGTAAAGATAACTGAAATATATTATAATTAGATTTATCAAACTAAACGCGTCTATATTTTATTTTATCAACTGTTTCAAAGAGGAGAATAATAAAAGCGTAAACGAAACTTTTAAGAAATATAAATTAAAACGCCTCTTAGATGACAAGTTTTAATGGGCAAACTAAAAGTTACTTTGAAAGGTCACAGTGATACGAAGTGGTCAACCAAACAAAGAACAGTTAGTGTCTTAAAAAAGTCAGTAAAGTAAGTTCTGTTTTTTCAGTATTGACAAGACAGATCGCAGAAATTATATAGTGATGAAACATCTTTTGGAGCACAAGCTTTGATCAGACAAATAGACTTCAGATTTATGTGCCTTCTTCTAATATGGGAAAGAATACTGAGTTGCATCGATCAAGTCAACCAGTCTCTTCAAAACAAGAGTGTTTCTCTGGATGTAGCAAACAAAACGATAAAGGGTCTCGCAGGATCGTTGCAGAAAGTGCGAGATGAGGGAACGGAACCAGCTATAAAGTTTACCAGAGAAAATTAGAAATAGGATTAGAGGACGACTTTTTTCACGTGAGGCTGAAAAGAAAGTCAAAAGCTTTCATGACAGTGAAATAGCTTGAAGAATCTGAGTTTGAATGAGCTAAAAAAAAGTGCTGACTTCGGACTTCACTATTCATTAGACGTAGACAAAGTGGAACTTGTGTCCGAATTAGAAGTGTTCAAAGCACAAGTACAGGAGCTGATCGAGGAATTAGAATCAGTAACTCCCCTGTATTTATTAAAATGTATTCAAGAATACTTCCTAGATGATATTTATCCAAACATCAAGACTGCATAATACTTTGAATTTGTATAACTTTACCAGTGACTGTAGCGTCTTGCGAACGCAGTTTTAGCAAGCTCAAGTTAATAAAGAATTATCTCCGTTCTACGATGAATCAAGAAAGATTAATCAGACTTGGATCATTATTAATAGAAAAAAAGTGGTTTCACACATAAATGTAGATGCAATAATAGACGAATTCGCTTTAGCCGAGGCAAGGAAGAATAAAATTGTAACTTTCATAAATTTATAATAAGTAATGAAATGTTTATACATTAAATTAGATGTTATTTTTTTCCGGGAGGGAAGAGCCGCCGATACAGCTCTTTGCTAAGAACGAGAGGAATTCTAGATATGCCTTTGAATCCATGCTAGTTTTGAATAAATTTGCAAATAATATAACACGCACGCTAGGTTTTATTATCAGATTTCCGTTAGCATTTTTAATCGATTTTTTGTACGTCATTAAATTAATGTTTTTATCACGCTGTTATTCAATTCATTCTACACAGATTATAAAAAATTGTTTAATAAAAGCGAGATTTAGATCACTTGGAGTAATAAGATATACAGGGTGTTCCATTTTAAAAAACGCACCTCGATAATTCTTCAACGAAGCATTTTCAGCAAAAATGTTTCAGACAAAAGTTGTACGGTTTCGTAGTTCGTTTAAGAAAAAATATGTAATTTGCAGCATGCATCTGCATACTTTTCCTTAAAAGCAACTGTCTTTTTTTCATACCAATTGATTCGTCTCATTAATCTGTGCATAAAAGTATCAAAATAACATTACCGAAAACTTAATGTTTTACAAGATATTTTATATTTTATGTCAAAATACTAGAACTTTCAAGCTTAATAATTCCAAAAGTTTTTAATGAAAAAATACTTTGTTATAGTGTTTTGAAAAGCTCTTGAGATTAGCTACAAGAATATGCATTGAAAAATAGGGGTTTTTATTTAAGAAATTGAAGGTGACCTTCACGTGATCTTCAAACGCCTATCCAAGGTCAAACTATTGACACCATCTTATGTGCCCTTCGAAACCGTACAACTTTTGTCTGAAACATTTTTGCTGAAAATGCTTCGTTAAAGAATTATCGAGGTGCGTTTTTTAAAATAAGACACTGTATATTGTAGCTTATTTAACAGCTTATTTAACAGATCTTGGAAATCTAAATAATAATTGTTCAAGAGGAGAACCAATATGCGCCACAAAGTAACGACGCAAAAATAATTGTTTGCACGTGGAAATGCAAATTGTCGTTTTAACACAATAAACTTACATACCGGAAATGATTCTGTTCATCTGTTATATAAGATATCTTATTCAGTTCCCTTAGTCCCCGAAGAATTATATACACAGTAACGTTGTCAGTAATATCTACTTTCTGTAATTTCTCATATGGTTATTCAATGCAAGTTTGAGATCGGCAGCGATGAGCATAGCTTCCTGCACTGTTAAAAATGATTGCAAATTAGCGTTCTGCATTATGTAGGCAGATAATTTACGTTCTCGTCCATTTACCATGGTCTTGCCGCGGTGACCGAGGTAGTTCTGAAATGCGATGCGTCGTTAATTTATATCAGTACAAAATTATCTTTTTCCAAAAAGGTGAAAAAAAGCGCCAAGTACACGCGCAATGTATGTTGTAAATCTAAAAATCCTAAATAGTAGTAGCTTTATTTCTCCATAACAAAATAATTCACAAAATTGAGTTACCTAACTCAACTTAAGTAATATGTACTTCAAAAAAAGAGGTGAAATCTTTAAATTGCGCCATATTATAAAGAATTATTTTAATCACAAAGAATTAAAGAGATAACAGTACAAAATACAAATATTTAATTAAAATATAACAAATAAATTTTTCTTGTAAAAAAACTTGGCGCTGCTTTTTTACTCCCGTCGCATTTTTCCCTAAATTATGTTTATTGTTTCTTTATTTAATCAAAAATTTTAGTACTTTATTAAATTTCGAGATCTAGCAGCGCCAAGTTATTTTACAAACTGTGAGGTTAGGAGATAGTGCAATAAGAAGCTACGATTATTTATATTTGTATAATTTATAATAGGTTTTTTTTGGATATTTGTGTATGTGTGGATTGAATACAAGTATGAGAGATTATGGATTTATTGTAAACCAAGTCCACTTTCTGGCTGTAAAGTTAATAAACATATATAAGGAAAATTTATAAATTTAATTTTAATTAAATATTTTTATTTTGTACTGTTATCTCTTTAATTCTCTGTGATTAAAATGATTCTTTATAATATTATAATATTACTAAGGTTAAATGTTACGTAACGTTAACTCACGCACAGCCGCGTTTGACTTTCAAAGCCCACTTTTTCCTCGTAAATTTCAATATCGAGAGTCTTTAATTAATTATTCATTTACTGGAAAAGCAAATAACGTTTTTTCAATCTGTTACACAGTACCAGCTACGATTGACCATATCTGCACGTGTATCGCGGAGCTTTTTTAACAGCTCTTTTTCTTTATTCTAATCTCTGTTTAATAAGTCGCATTAATCATCGCACATGACTCAATCGGCCGGACATAGCGACAAGTTAAGGAACGATTTACGTGCTATATGGTCCACATATTAGACTCAGCGAATTATTACATTAACGTACTACATCCATCCACGACACCTGCTCGCGGCTCGGAAGACATTAACGTCACCGAGAGGTCGTTCCCTCTTAATCGCGTGTCGCGCCTGTAGCTCGAATCTCGTCCGTCGAATATTTTGCAAGCGCATCACGCAACACGAACTAAGATAGGTATATACAACTGTCGAATTAAAATCTAATTTACCGTAAGACTTTATGGATTAAATTATAACAGACTTGTGGGTCAATATAGCTTTCAACAGAAAGCTGCAGTCCTGGCTTCTGTAAAATTCTGATATAACGTGTGCTTATTAACTCCGATCTTTGAAATAAAAACCACGAGGAAAGTCACGTAATGGCGTTGGCATTGCGCAAAAAGTGTTGTATTAATATATGAGCTACTTTCCACTTCCATCAATCATATAACGCCCTTACACAGCGTGCTAAAAAAAATTGCACGTAAAACATCCTTGTTTTAATCTTGACGAATAAAAAATTATTGGATTCGCTGGAGGTGGCAGGTCTCTTATTACAATGTTAAAAATTTTCTCGCTGTTTTTTTAATACTCTCTAGTCCCGGTCACTTACGAAGAAACATACTTTTTTTCTAGTGTCGTACAATTTCGTGTAATTCGTGCGCCAACACGGTTGCAGCACGGCGG